CCATTTTGCTTGATCTCCAAAATATATAAGCAGCTCATACGACTCAATAAGAAAAAATAAACAACCCAATCCAAAAATGGGCAGAAGACCTAAACAAGCAATTCTCCAAGGAAGACATACAAATGATCAAAAAGCACATGAAAAAATGCTCAATATCACTAATTATCAGAGAAATGCAAATCAAAACTGCAATGAGGTATCACCTCACGCCAGTCAGAATGGCCGTCATTCAAAAATCCAAAAATGACAAATGCTGGAGAGGCTGTGGAGAAAGGGGAACCCTCTACACTGCTGGTGGGAATGCAGTTTGGTGCAGCCACTATGGAAAACAGTGTGGAGATTCCTCAAAAGACTAGCAATAGACTTACCATATGACCCAGGAATCCCACTCCTGGGCTTGTATCCAGAAGGAAATCTACTTCAGGATGATACCTGCACTCCAATGTTCATAGCAGCACTATTTACAATAGCCAAAACATGGAAACAGCCTAAATGTCCATCGATAGGTGACTGGATAAAGAAGAGGTGGTATATTTATACAATGGAATACTACTCAGCCATAAAAACCGACAACATAACGCCATTTGCAGCAACATTGATGCTCCTAGAGAATGTCATTCTAAGTGAAGTAAGCCAGAAAGAGAAAGAAAAATACCATATGAGATCGCTCATACGTGGAATCTAAAGACTCATGGACAGAGAATACAGACTTGTGGTTACCAGGGGGGTAGAGGGTTGGAAGGGATAGACTGGGATTTCAAAATTGTAGAATAGATAAACAAGATTACACTGTATAGCACAGGGAAATATACACAAAATGTTATGATAAATCACAGAGAAAAAAATGTGACAATGAGAGTAGAAAAAAAAAAAAAAGAGGAAGAGTTATTTGAAACCAAAGGTTGCTCAACATGATGGTATGTAGTGAAGCCCCTTACAATAGTTGTTAACACTTGAGGTCTTTCAATACGAAAATGAAAATAAAATAGACAAACAGAACCAGGGCATAGCTTAAATGTCTGGAAAAAATTTAATAGTATTTAAGGGTTGAAATCAAAAGGAAATCCTGTCAACGTCTATTCCTACTGATGAAGTAGTTTGAGGTTAAGTGTCCCACTGTTTGGAGTGAGGGCAAATGTCTATGGCTTCTGAAGGAAGAAATCCAGAGACTTTCGATAAAGGTAGGGTTAGAGGCTTATAGATGGATGTCTGCATTAGTGAGGTCTCACTGGCTGAAGAGACAAGAGGATGCCACACACCTCTCAGGCCAGAGAGGGTCTCTGCAGAATAACGTATGGATCCCAAGTAATCAGGCGAAGGTAGGAAGTTGTCCTCAGATATTAATGATGACTAAGAAACTTCACTAAGGAGGACATTAGAACTTTGATCAGCAGTACATTACGTAAGGCAAAAACGTCTCTCTATAAGAATTTAGTGAAATCGTATGACCCAGGAAAGCTAACAAAATATTTTTCAGAATTTTTCCCATTTTTTAAAACTCAAGACTGCATCTTAGACAACTTAGTTAAATATTAACATTGATCAGACAGGCTGTACATGCCCAAGAAGGTGGCATGAACTACTTAGAGCTCTCAGGCTCTTGCTTAAGAACCAGGACTCAATTTTTCCTTTTGTACGGTTGGGAAAAGATAAGCGATCCTGCAGATTCATTATGAAGATTAGCTAAAACAGAAAGCCTGACACTACATTTGGCACTTCATAAATGGGAACCAGCCTTATAATGTAAAAACGTATTTTTATCAATGAATCTTATTAAGAATTGCTGTTTTATAACCAAAGGAAAAGAAATCATGGTGGCTTACAAAATTTCTCTTTCTGACAGTGAATGGCTAAGAGGTAGTATCTTTCTAAAAAAATAAGATAAAGACCTCTCTCCTTTAATGCTCACTAAAAATCTGCATACTGATTATAAACTAAGAATACAAAATGGAATAAATTGCCATATCCAGGCATGTAGCCTTTTAGTAAAACTGGTATTAATTAAATTTTATTTATTTTGATTTAATGAAGTTCCCATGTCAAATTACTTCAACTCCTGAGAGGTGATTAATATGCTTTTAAGATTTTCATCTGAAATATTCATCAATTCCAAAAGGTAGTGCTGACATCAAATAATGATAGAAAACCTTCTTTCCCCACAACTTTGCACATCAACAAAGAACGCGTTTTTTTTTTTTAAACCTGTACAAATAGTAGTACTGAACTTTTAGAGTCCTTACTTTATTGAGAAAACAGAAGCAGAGTGATTGACTGGTCAAGGTCATGTCACTTCAAATATCACCATTTTTGAGAGGAAAAAAACTAGATTCCAAAAACGAGCCTGACATTGGTCCCTTATCAAATTCTAGGGAAGATTAACAGATGGCATGTGAGCAGTTAGAAAAGGAGGTGCTATGGTTTCACTAAGAGTGAAGCATTCTAGCTAATTACATTCAACTGCTTGATTTAATTTAAATTAGGCTACTTCCAGAGTACAATCTGCTCGTTGGCCAAACATGACAGAATTTCTGACAGTGTCCTTTTAGGGAACATGGAAAAACATAAGCACTGAAGTGACTGGTAGGTGCTTTGACAACTGCACCCAAAGGACTGACTGATGGATCAAAGCCACCTGGAGGGCAGTCTAGAGTGGCGTTCTGAAGAGGGTCTGCATTTCACCCTCTTCTACGCAGTACTTACCAGTAACCTGGACAGAGCCACTGAATACCAAAGGCACACTTCATCACAGCTGGAGCTGACACAGGCTGAGAGGAAGAATCAGAGTTCATACGGACCTTTACAAATTAAATTTAATAGGGATGAATGCAGTCCTTCAATTAGGTTAAGAAGAAATTGTGAAGTAATTATTGGTTGTGCACCTGGCTTACCAGCAGTGCTTGAAGTGCAGCAAGAGACAACAATGTGACATGCTTGCCTAATAGTGACAGTGGTGATAATAATATCAACACACACTAGTCATAACAATCATTCGAGAACCATTTTGAAGCTGGCAATAATGTCTCTGGACCCTTGCTCTAGTCAGACCACAGAAAAACTGTGTTTAGTTCTGAGCAACCTACATTTTAAGAAAGGGACTGAAAGAGCCAATACCAGGCTGGTCTGGAATAGATTTCATGCAAGATCTGAGAAAAGTGTGAAGCCCGAGGGAAGATATGAAGAGGTGTCTGCACAGATGAGACAGGGCCTTTCTGTCTAGTTTCACATATGTGTTATTTATAGGACGTTCAGATGGCATACTTCTAACAATTAAATCCAATCCCTGCAGGGGTGCTGAGTGATTCCAACTCTGGAAGTTCATCAATCATTTCTGAATAGCTGGGGTCTCTTAAGAATCTTCCTTCTTAGATCACAGTTAAAGGACTATAAAATCATGTTCTCAGGAATCTATTCCAGACTTCCTTAATAGCTGTGTTTTTTGCTATTAAATATGCTAAATCCTCCAGGGGGTTACATCATAGAAATGATACGACTACACAATTAAATATTAGAAATGACCACTGAGTATATCCTGTTTATTGTTTATGATTCACACGAAAAATGATGGACTGGGGTTGTAGAACAATAAACCCATTACATTTAGACCTGGGCTTTTGAAAGACTTGCATTCCATTTTAACAGTTCACATATATTTAACAGTTTATATATAAATCCAGATCACAAATAATCTTAAAAGTTAGTTAGCTTAGAGAGAAACAATTAAGAAACACAAAAGAAAACCACATAGATCTACCTTTAAATATAAGCATTCATATTACAAGAAGAAAATGTTTATAAAAATAAAATTATTAGATCAAGTCACTTAACATATAATAGAGAAATATGAGAAACAACATTGTAATTAACATTTATACTTCTAATTAACCTCCATGTATTCTTTACTTTTTCAGAAGGACCCACGATATGATCAAACAATATTTTGGTGTCTTAACTTGGCAGCCTTAGCTTTTATCAGCCTGTTACAATGGAAACTCTAAAATCTCAGTTTTCTTTTTAAAGAACTTTTAGGCCAATTCTTACTCAACTTTTCTCCTTCATAGCAGCTGTTTATAGAAAGTAGGGAGCCAAGAATGAAAGACAGAAACAGATGGAAAGCAAAAAGTACAACAGCTATCTTAAGTTCAGTTCTCAACACTGCTGGTTGAATTTGGAACCAAAACCTTATAACAACTGGCAGATAACAGCTAAATCTTAACAGGCAAAGAAGAAATATTTTCTCTGGGACAGCTGCTATCTAGAAGAAAAAACCAGGGTCCCTTTCTACTGCCTGCCTAAATATAATGTGTGGCTTATTACAGAGAAATCTGTAGCAATGTCCGTTTAACCAGTAAGTGTCACAACTGATCAGTATTACTTAAAGGAAACAAACAATAACAACAACAACAAAAAACACACTAGCCACAAATTTCCACAATATACACATGAGAATTAATTTTAATATGATTTCACTCCGTGACACTAACTGAGCATCAATGAAATATGATATGGAAAGATCACAGAGTAGAAAACAAGCAAAGATTAGTTTATACAACAGTGACTATGTACATCAGAAGGAAAACATGCTACCTAATGCAACATTAAGGCCTGAATGTAAGCATTTCCAAAGTCACAGAAGCCCCAAAGAACCCCTAAAGTACAGTCACCACATTACATGCATGCAATGTTCAATTTTGTTTTGCCCGTAAAAGGATACACAGTATTTTGCTGTAAATACCAGACACATTTACAATATATGCAAAAATCAGAATGCAAGTGTTATGTTCCTTATATTTAAGCCTCAAATGTGCCAACAGTGAAATTTCATTTATTTTTAAGAGTGGAGAAAAGCGATGGAATACAAATACTCAGAGAAATGACACAAATAAAATGTAATTTTATATTTGGGAAGCCATATAAATATTCCTTGTATGTGTCCAAACTAAACAATCAATGCACTACTTGGATGGATGTACACTCACTATGTGCTTTACTATCTGACTCGCTCAAATGTGGGATTCTAACACCCACCACTCTGCTGCTGATACCGAATCACACCTGAAAGCTGAATATTATGTCCATGTTGATACATACTTACTTGCCTACTAGGTGTGATCACCTAAACAGAAAGCTGTGCAGTCTTAGTTTGGTATTACATGTATAAAGATAACCCTCTGGGTCAAATTTCCCATAAAAAAGAATAAGGGAAGCTAATTTCCTCAGTTTTGCAAAAGCCTGTGAACAGAACTCTTCCAGAGGGTAATCTGAGGTCATCATCTTCTTCTCTCTTTCAGAAAAAGGAAAATAACAAAGGAACCGTGTTACATGTTCAGTTCTATTCAGTCTCTAGGAAATCATATAAATCTACTTCTTTTTCATCCATGGCTTAACTTGAAATTACCAACTCCTATTTTATTTCCAGGTGAATAATTTTATTAAAATAAATTAGGGTAAAGAAACAAACGCTGATAATGTAACATGGATAATCCTTGTTCAGCAATATTTTAAAATAATAAATTATAACACAGTAAGGTTTAGACATGTTGTAAAAGGTGTGGCCAAATTTGTCCTACACCCCATCAATTTTATGATATATACCAGTTAGTACAAGTGACCATCTCGTTTTTTAAGGATTCAGATTTTCCTTTGTGATATGACAGAATGAGTGTTTTTAAACACCTTATGCCTGTTTTCAGACTTTCCAAATATTTTGCAGCCAAAATTACCTTTAACTATATCCAAAATCTATTACACAAATGTGCCATGAGTGTTCTGGACCTTCAAGTATAATTTCAACCAAGTAGAAAGGATTTCACAAGGCCATCTAATCCAACTCATTGTACCAAGTGCTGAGCACACTAGACTGTTCATATATTTTACTAACTTTACTTTAAGTACATCCACCATTTAAAATATAAACATTTATTTTACTATCTAACCATTTCAAGGGGATTACATTTAAGATTTAAAAATTTTTGATGCTCTAGCCAGAAGTTTTGTTTGGCATTCTAAGAAGTCCTAATTTTAAACAAAGATGAGAGAGTAGATACCTTCTTATAAAACAACTCAGTATTATGAACCAAGAGGTTTTGATGAGGCAAAAGCAAAGGGACCAATGAAAAAGCATGCTCAGAATTCTTTATTTCCAATGAAACCAAATTTTGCTACTGTTATGATCACAATCTTCACATCTGATGCAAATAGGAGAGCTTAATTATAATCACTTAGTGGCGGTACTTCAGACAAAACCAATAACGTGTGCCACATAGATGATTATTTCTTTTGGAGAGAGTTAATTGATAAGCTGCACTTTACAAATAATAACATATTAAACTAAAGAAAATGGATGCACTGTTTCAACATTCAGCTTGAAAATGCTTAGTACTTTCTGCAAACCTAAATTTAGTTTAGAAAGGTTAATACTCTCTTTCTAAACTATGGCATAGACTATATATAGCATTTTTAATATATTTATATATAATTATTTGCACATCAGACTTAGAAGCAGTCTGTAGGTTTACTTTGATAGACTGATCTCGCTCAGTGCTAGGGTTCAGGGGGCCTCTGCAGCGCTGTCGGCTGCTGGTGGGGCGTCGTGCTCAGGCTCAGAGGAAGCCGCTGCGGACGTTTCCATCACAGCAGGAGGGAAATGACGGCGGCACACGGGGCACGTTCCAGACTGCGGGGAGGAAGCAACATGTTCAGAGCCAATGGGAAGGTTTTAACTACCGCAAAGTCTCTTCATAAAGGAAAAAAAATCACTTTTCTAAAAACAGGTCAACTAACTTAAAAACAGAACAAACGAAACTTCAAAACCACACAATACAGAGAGGTGAAAGTTTGATGCTATTTCCTCTTCATCAGATTTTACTTTTCTTTGAGGGTAAACAGTCTCCTAACCATGTTTGTATCTTTTAGGTCACTCATCTTTCATTTAGTGAGTATTAACTGAGAGTCTATTACACTCTCCACTTGGCACTGGTGCTATGAGAGTGGCAAGGGGTCACAGGGCACGTCCTCACCTGAACTGAATCATTATTATTATTATTATTATTATTATTATTATATCTATGATGTATGTATTAGAGAAACCAGAGAACTAATTAATTCACATATTTATTACATCAAATCATCACCCTAAGATCTTCCTCATATATACTAAAGCCTCACTTTAGTGTAGCACAGATATGTCAAAGCAGATGGACCACAGATCTTCTTCATAAACCACATAATTCCTTTTCAAAAAGATATGGAGTGACGTGCCCTCTAAATGATAAAACAAATCAACGAGGGAAGGTGGGCCGGGGGAAGCAGACTGGGAGCACACTATTTTAGAACCAATGGAAGACTATAGAGATATGTCATCTGGCAATAGATTATCCCCTGACAAATCTGGTCTTTTCCCCAATGAGATCTCCCTGACAGAAAGCAAGTTGAAGAAATCATGCTGTAGAAGGTGACAAAGATTTTTATCTTAGGAACCTTCTCCCCAGGGGAAAGACCTCACATAAATTGTTTCCTGACAGGAGAGAGACCAGAGATTATTACCTTGGGTTAAAACAAAATCAACAACAAATCAAAACTGTACAACACATACAATATTTATGTGAGAATTTAACTCAGTAAACAGCCACTATGCACCTGCCATACAGCAACATTTTAGAGTCACATAAGTAAGTGCAGTCTTGATCAACCACATTAGCTGTGTAACCTTGGATAACCAACAATTGTTGGAAAATGAGAATAAGGATACCAATATATCCCAGAGTTACTGTGAGGGTGAAATGGGAAAATACACATGAATCACCTAGCAGTAATAACACAGAGCAGGTACTCAAAACACTAGATCCTTCTTAAGGCTCTGATATCACCATAGGAGTTTAAAGAAAGTGGGTATTAAGGATAGAAGACATGCAATTTAAGCTGGACCAACCTAGATCATCTACTCTTACAGTAAGGGGGAGACCACACCAAGATAAGCAAATATGAGCAAATGTACAGAGGGATCAATCTGAAGAGACAGACTAGATCACAGAAGGCCCTAAAGCCTAGACAGAAACTTTATATTTCATAAAGGAACAATGGACATTTCTCTATTGGATTCTACAGATATTAACTACAGTTTTGACAAAGACGAAGTAGCAGTAGAAGGGGAGCAACGGCAAAGAAGAAGGAAAGAAAAGAAGGTGGGAAAGAGAGGGGAGGAAAACGGGGAAGCGGAGAAGGGAAGGAGTGGTTATAGAGAAGAAAGGGAGCCACATCACTAAGTAAATACACTGGGAAAGTGATTTGGGAATTTCTGCTGAACTGCATGCAAATATCCTTTATGCAAACACAGTTCAGTGAAAAGATTTAAATAAAATGCTTTCTTTTATTCTTAAGTAATTCAAATATACTTTAAAATTATTGGGTAAACATTCAAAAACAGTACATAAAAGTCTGAATTAGAGGTACTTGGTAGGGTATTAAATTACGTCTCAGACACATTTTTAGAGACACCAATCCATACTAGCAGAACATCCTTATGTTATAGTATTCTGAGTAGTCCCAAAGGCTTCTTTGCTTAAGATATTTTTGAAAATATCAAATTTGAGAGATATCATTACAGATGTGATTAGCTAAAATCATTTGTCTATATTGTTTTTTATACAATGTTAGTAAGATAAAATAGTTTGATATTATCATTAATCTGCGATCATTGAAAGGTAACCAAATTTTAACACTGAATTAAAAAGTACTACAAGTACATAGCTAAATAAAATAATCTTAAAAGACATTACTATTGCAGGAGAAATCATTAAAATACTAGTTTTTAAAAAGCAAAACTTCCATATTTTAATTCTGTCTCTTTGCGGGAATTATAGGTTGTTTTCAAAAATATTGTTTCAATAAACACCCTTTAACATATTTAAAACAAAAGTAAATCTGAAACTCACCTTTTGTAGCCAAATTGAGACACAAGGTTTGTGAAAGAAATGGTGACAGGGTAACTCTGTTGCTATGTCATCCTTAATATACTCACTGCAACAGATTGGACAGCATTGCTCCTGACCAATAGCTGAAAAGAAATAATTTATCAATCCTGTAAAGTTCAATTTTAGTAAAATTGAAAATCAACATATTAACTCATACATGATACCTATGAAAGACAAAAGAACCGGACTTTGATAAATTAACTGGCAAACGTGTGTCTGCTTAATACACGACAATCTGGAATTTAACAAACATGGCTTCTGTAGAAAAGCTGACTGGAGAACATCTGTTGCAGTCGATCACTTAATAAATTAAAAAATCCGTCTACCAGGTAAGTCTGTTAGAATTAGCTTTCACAGAAAATCTAATGAAAGCTTCTGACAGTATTTTATCTTCTAGGTGCACTGATAATATACTTGCATTGTAGTGTGTCATTCGACATGAGAGACCAACGTCTTGCCCTTACCAGTGTGATCTTCAAGAACAAGGGTCTCTGGAAGACCGTCAATGCTCTCCTTACTGGCTGGTGGATTAGCCACCTCAACATCCACTGCAAGAGACTCCAAATGTGCTAGGGCAGTCTGAAAATGAAGTCACGTTTCTTTGTTAGAAAACACTTTTTAAAACAGCAATGGAAAACTACTTTCAGGGGTATCTTTCAAAATTATACCCACCATTATTCTCTTCCTGTTGGTTTCTTTTGCTTCAGTCCCTGCCCTATTTGCCTCCTACCAAAGGGAATCATCATCACCACCATCAAACCAAGAAATCAAAAAACATACCAAAAGAAAAAGCCCTGTTCCCAAGTATAACAAAAACCTGTCTTGTCTCAATAACCACCTACTTGCCCATCATACTTGTATTTTCATAAGAGTGGTTACTCTTCCAACTTAGGAGTTTCTGTGTGAGATCAATAACGTGAAAGAAAGTTAACACACTGGGCAGGTTCAACTCATGAAAGATAGAATGTGGCCAGTGGTGGTTGCCAGGGACTGGGGGTTGGGGGGAATGGGCAACTACTGGTCAAAGGGCACAAACTTCCAGTTATTAGGTGAACAAGTTCTGGGGATCTAAGTGAGAGCATGGTGATTATAGATAACAATATTGTATTATATATTTGAAAGCTGTAAGAGAGTAAATCTTAAATGTCCTCAACACAAGAAAGAAATGGTAATTATGTGAGGTGATAGAGGTTAACCAACTCTGTGATAATCATTTCACAATATCAAATCAACACTGTACACCTTAAGCTTACACAATGTTATATGTTAATGATATCTCAATAAAGCTGGAAAAAAGTGGATATGCACGCAATGGAGTATTATTCAGCCTTCAAAAAGAAGGGAATTCTGAATATGCTACAACATGGACGAACATTAAAGGCATTATGCTAATTGAAATAAGCCAGTCACAGAAGTAGACAGAGTGAGGTGCTTGGATCCAGAAGTATACGCAGTTTCTCCAGCACCTGACAGCTGAGGTATAAGGTGGTCAGCAGCTTCCCCTGGCACCCATCTTGGGTGGTTTTGTAGCAGAGTGCTTCCAGTTAGTCACCTCCCTGTGAACAGTTTCTCCAGCATTCCAGGGGAAGAATTTTGCCAAGATCCAGAGAGCAGATTTCTATCAAGTTCTGCAAGCACAGTAGCACAAACACTTCTCTAAGAGCCATGGTTGTGTCCTCTTCAACACAGTCTGGATCTCTGCCCTGGGGGCGGTGGTAGGGGTGTCAAGTGCTTTATCTCAGCCCCAAAGCATTTCCTTAAATCTGCTATTCCTACATTCTCTAGAGTTCACTTTACTTCCTAGTAGCCTAACTGTAGTTAGCAATTCTTTGTATCAAACTTAGCCTGTTCAAACTATTGTTTTCTCTCTGACTGAGCCCAGATGGATACAGAATTGTTTATCAGGCATGATTCGAGCACCAGACTCCTGCAATGTGCACAGCTTCTCCAGCACCTAGCTCCTGTAATGCACGTGTCCAGGAGCACACTGTGGCCAGTAGCTTCCCTCAGCATCCACCCTGGACAGTTCTTTAGCAGTGTTTCCAGTTAGACACCTCCCTATGAATAGCTTTCCCCAGCACCCTACAGGGCTGATTTCCAGCAACTTCTGCCAGCGCAGTACCATAGTGACTTCTCTGCTATTCAGTGAGGTACAGCTGTGCCAGCTCCATCAAGGCATGGATCCCAGCTCTGAAGCAGAGCGGGGACCCTTCCTTAGGTGATCCTGGGTGATGGCTGTTCCTTATAGTGCCTTTTCTATATTCTTTAGATTGTCATTATTCATTTCTAAACAATTCCCTTTTACTCTAATCCCCTGTGGCAGTTAATAATTCTTTATTTTAAACTTTCCCATCAGGAGATAGGAAATGGAAAGTAAGAGCCTATTATTTGTCCCTTCTGTCTCATGAATAACTATAATCATGAATCTCCTATGTATTTCTTAAGATATACTCAGCAAGAACTCATCTGTGCTATACATAAACAAAAAGAAGGGATACTATTTATAGGAAGTTCCATTTTGGAGGTTGTTCCAGCTAACTATGCTTTAATACATGTTTGTCTCAGTGGGTTCACTATTCCTTTCTGATCATTACCTGCATATCTGCAGTGCTAATAAATACCTGAAATTTCAATATATGTAAAAATAATTTATTGCCTTGGTACTGACATATATTTAAGGTGATCTGGGATCATTTATAAGCAACAAGAGCAAGAGAGACCATTTTAAAGCTACTGCTATGAACATTTATAAAAATTTGTCTGTATCTTAGTACAATATATATTCAAATGTTAGTCCAAGAGTGAGAAAGACAACTAAGTGGCTTAAATAGCCCAACTGGGATATATCTAGGCTTTAAGTAGCATAATCCTTTGTTAGCATAAAATTTAGTTTCTAAAGACTAAAACAGGATTTAGTTTTTAAAGAGTGAAGACTTCTGACAAATGATTTAATACTAATTTTGAATGACCACTGAATCCAGACTTGCTAGATGATTACCACTTGGTTGATTGTTAATTTGAATATATCTTTGAATACAGCCATTTACTGACAGCTTCCCCCAGTACCAGGTATTTTGCCAAGTGCTTTAACACAATCTCACAATAACCCATGAGGTAAATTTTGTTATTCCCATTTTGTGGATGAGGACCTAAAACTTTGGTTAAGTGAACTATCCAAGGTCACATAGCCTAAAAGAACCAATCTAACTCCAAATCCCATGCAAATTGGCTGTACTTCAATTAAACAATTAATTAATTAATTTAAAAAAAAGTCCATATGCTTACTTCATGTACCACCTACCTAAGGCCTACATTCTCGGCATACGAGGTGCTCTGTAAATATGTAAGGACTATGTGAAGGGTCCATGGGCATGGAGAGTCCCAGGAGACTCAATTTCAATTAATTGTGGTATATTTATACAATGGAATACTACTTAGCCATAAAACAACAAAATAATGCCATTGTAGCAACATGGGTGGACCCAGAGATTGTCATTCTAAGGGAAGTAAGCCAGAAAGAGAGAGAAAAATACCATATGATATCACTTATATGTGGAATCTAGAAAAAAAAAAGAGCTTATTTACAAAACAGAAACAGATTCACAGACGCAAAAAACAAACTTCTGGTTACCAGTGGGGAAGGGAGTGGGAATGGATAAATTGGGAGTTCGAGAGTTGCAGATCCTAACTAATACATACAAAATAGAAAAACAACAAGTTCATACTGTATAGCACAGGGAACTATATATTCAATATATTGTAGTAACTTATGGTGAAAAATATGAAAATGAATATATGTATGTTCATGTATTACTGAAGCATTGTGCTGTACACGAGCAACTGACCCGTTGTAAACTGACTATACTTCAATAAAAATATATATATACAAAAATTATATATATATACATACATACAAATTTTTTTCTTATGTAATCTTTCTCAAATGGATCTGCCCAAGAATGCATCTTCTGTCAAAGTACCATGCTGATTCTTCTGTTCCCACATTCCTTTTTATACTAACTTTTTTTTTACTTTATAAATAAAAGCATACTTTTTACCTGTTTGAAGGGGCAGTCTGAAATGCTGGGGTCACACTGAATGATAATGACTGACAATAAATCTTTGTAGATGGCTTCCAACTCTATTTTCAAACTGAAGGAGGATCTAAACAACTTGTCACATTTTTGTGATTTTTGGCAAGTATCTCAGAAGAATGGAGTTATAATGCTATGATAAACTCCTTTCATCCCTACCAATTTATTTATTTGAATAAAGTTTCTTAAGTTTATACTCATAAAGATGAAAAACAGAAATAAAGTTGATGCCAAACTATGTCTCATTCTAGGAATAAATAACCTTCACTCATAAAATAGGGAGGGAAAAAAAGCCTTTATCTCATTAAGATACACATTTCCATTTAAGTTTTACTTTATGTTTAAGTAATTATTTATCAAAATTTATAAAAGTTAATTTTTATATCAACAGACACTACAATTTTAACTCAATCTACACCAATTTTCTTTTTCACACTTAAATTCCTGAACATACTTTTTATTGCAAAGAGGCATGATAGGGTAAATAATATTACTTAGGGTTTATGCTAAAAATCATAGATGTCAACATAAAGACGTGCAAAGGAATTTTTTTTTTTCAAAATCTCTTTGGGAGTGAGTAAAAAGCTTTGATATCATTGTTTCAGTTAAAGATCCTAAATATTCTGCCCTGTTCTTAAATTTGAGACACAGATACAAGGCAAATGTTTGCTGCTAACACACTCACCAATAGCTACTATGTGCAAAGGAAGATCAGTCTAGTATTGGAAAAATAACGGAAATGAAAACAATTACTGCCAAAGAGACGGGACTGCTTGAGAAAATAACAAATAAAAGCCCCCAGTTTGTCTTATTACTTGTTTTTGCTTCATTTAAAGAGTGTTGGTATTAAGTCTAAGAGGAAAAATCGAAATTATAAATTATTTCAGCTTCTTTTTTCAAAATGATTAAGTCCATGCTAAACCTAGAAAAATAAAGATTTCTAAAGAGTGAAGAATGAACTGCACTGATTCTCTCGGAGTGAAACATGTTCCAATCAAATTCAAATAAAATAAAGCAAAGCACTAATCTGGGGAAGCTGTTATGCTGTGGGGAAGGGAGACATAACACCATTGATCAGAAACAGAAGGATAGATGCATAAGAATAACTGAAAGTGGTTGTTCCGAGAGCAGAAGCCAACAATGTGGGGACTGTATGTTCCCTGGACACACTATGTTCCTTCTTGCCTCCTGTCTTTGTCCACTCTGCTAGTGCCTTCACCTAGCATGACCTCTCATGACCAGTCAAGATGCCAATCAAATGTCACATTTCCCATTAGTAAAAATAATAAAACTTTTATTTTAATTTTTAAAATTTCTCTTTAAAGATATCTCCATATTGTAGGAGATCATAAACCACTAGCATAATTACGGAAAAAACTATTTAAGCACTGTGAAACCAGACTCTAAAATTGATATATTCCATGTGGTCACTTACAATTTACTTAACTCCTTAATCTTTACAGTTCTATTCTAATGCAGGCTATTATGCTGTGCAATTGTTCCAAATGTGTTAGAATTTGGCAAGGTAAGTTATATACTCTGGGAAAAGCCTTAAGTATATTATCCTGTCTCATGATACTCTCTCTGACTTTTCTTCTAGTACACAATGTTTCTTTATTTTTTTTTCCCTCCCAGTTTCACTGACATATAATTGACATACAGCACTGTGTAAGTTTAAGGGTATACAGCATAACGATCTGACTTATGTACATTGTGAAATGATTATCTCAGTAAGTTTACTGATCATCCATCACCTCAACAGAGATACAAAATTAAAGAAGTAGGAAAAAAATTACTTCCTTGTGATGAGAACTCTCAGGATTTACTCTTAACAATTTTCAGATATAACATGCAGCAGTGTTACTTACATTTATCATGAAGTACATTACATCCCCAGTACTTCTTTAGCTTACAATTGGAAGTTTATACCTTTGGACTTCCTTCATCCAATTTTCCCTTTCCCCCAACCCCTGCCTCTAGTAACCACAAATCTGATCTCTTTTTTTCTGAGTGAGTCTGTTTTTGAAGTATATCTGACTTACAACACTACAAGTACACTTACAGTCAACTACATTGTACACTACATAGTGATTAGGTATTTCTATACATTTGATCGCCACAACACATAATATTTCTGCTATGGTCACTGTGAGAAAAATATATACTATAACTGAGGCAATCATCTCCATGGAAGATTACACACACTTAAAAAAGTGATGTCAAAGCAGAGCTAACTTAAGTGTGTGTACATGTGCATGTGCGTGTGTGCCAATAGATAAACAGGTCTGTCTCTACCTACTATTTATGAATCTAAACTGGACTTTCTAGTCTCATAAAATTTCGAGACAAAATGCTAATGTTCCTGAAAGTCCCCTCATTCAGTTTGTTCTTTCACTCTTGGCTCATTCACATTATTACTGTTCCTCTACTTTGGATCACTTTGGAAATAGTGATTTAAAGAAATACTTCTTAAAATGAAATCCACTAGCGCAGTGGAAGTTTCCAAACATGAAAATGCTTGAGTTTTTGACTACAGGAAAATAAAATTATGAACAAGTTTCTGGTGTTGCAGTCAAATAAAGCAAAGAAGTCAAGACAGTCACCAAATGTGTCATATTTATTAACATGTGTATGTGTGTGGGGATGAGGGAGAGTAAATTTTCTAACTGCATTAAGCAGCAAGATAGATTTAGAAGCCATAAGAACCAAAAAGAGGAAGAGATTTGTAATACAGCTTTAGAGATTTTTCATTTCATTTCACAAATTATGTGTGTGTATAAAATATTCTGATTCACAGACCTGTAGAATTCAACAGAGTTAGTGTATTTTCTAAATGCAAGCAATATACCTTACATTCTGCAGTAAAAACTGGAAAATATTATAATTTTAGGCAAATTGGCAGATGTCAAGTGTAATTTGTATACATGTACTAAATCACTATTCAGTAATTATTACTAAATTGGTGAGAAAAATATTCACCTTTTCTTAAAAGTAGTTTTAAAAAACCTTTAATTTTATCACTTTGTATCCCACTAATCTATACAGGGGTCACTAAAATACCTCCATAGCCTGGGCTAAGCGTTCTTCTAGAGCCATGTAAGTGAGGAACTGAGGATCCACATAAGAAATAGCTTCAGCAACTCCTAGTCCATCTGCAAAACCGTCAAACAGGCTGGGAGTAAAAAGACAAAACAAAACATGATTTGAGAATCCTTTATAGTAAAGACATAATTACATTAGCATAATGACAAGCCAATAAACACACTATAGGCAGAAAACCTTAAAATATTTTAATATAAATCTTGTGGGGTGAAGGGCAAGAAGAACCCAACAGAAAAGTTAAATGTCAAGCATAAGGAGTTGAGACACCACTCCCATTTCCTATAGGCTGCCACACTGCTGCACAAAATTTGTAAGAAAATCCTCTTTTTGTATTTCTAGTCCTAGCTATGGGAACCATTTATGACTGGGATAAACTTTTTCTCTCCTAATTCCTTCCCATGTCTTTCCTCTTTTAGTTTCCAATCTAAATTTAGATGAAAACC